CTCTCTCTCTCTCTCTCTCTCTCTCCTCTTTTGACAACAATCTAATTCATAGACATCTGTTTTGGTCAACACTTTCAGACACTTATAATTTAGCAAATTTTACGATAACTTATGGTAAAAATCTATATTTCATGTGACTCTCAACGGTAGGATTTATAAAATGGGGGATCCGCGGTTCAATTAAAGTACTGTCCAGATGCCTCCCTAATCGCCTGTTCGGCTAACACATAGATTAAGTGGTGATAAATATTTTCATACCATTTATTGATAAAAACTAATAAAAAAGTAAAAAAGTTTTACATTAATGTTTGTTCACAAAAATCTCGATAACTTATTATTGCATCAAAAACTTACCACAAGTTTTACCACAATTTTTATTTTTAAATCCAACGGAATTTAATCCACTATTCAAAACATTATTACCACAAGAGTTGCGGTCATAATCTGGCATCAGATCCAACGTATTATAAGTAATCCGGTATTCATTGGCGTAAAAGTCGGCAAAACAACCATAATTTGTTTCAATCAGATTGCAGTCATATTTACATACTTTACCATCACTTAAAACGGGCACAAACTTATCGTACGTATCAACAAACGAGTGCAAACGTGGTAACTGTTCAAACACTCTATGCGCCACTTGGGGTACGGGAATCATCTCGACTATAGTGCGGGACAATTGATTACACAAATACACTGCACCCGAGTTGGCCAGAAAGTATGTCGTGTCGTACGCGCAATACACGGCCCGGATATCGGCCACCTTTGAGACTAGTCTCGGTTTACAGACATTCACGGCCCCGATGTCCGAGTGTCCCAATTGGCGGCCACTGTTGTCGCCCCAACTCAGTACCAGACCCTCGGGTGCGGTGATGGCAAACGTGGTAAACCCGTAGCAGTAAATAGACTTTATTGTGAACAACTTGGTAAATTTCACGCGCACTGGCGTACGCACTGAATGATTGCCGCCGCCCGTCGGCACAGGACACTCTCCGCACCCGATCTGTCCGGCACTGTTGTCGCCCCAGCCGTACACGTGTCCATCAATGGTGAGCACCAGGGTATGATTGTAACCGCAACTGATCTGGCTGACCCACAGTTCATCGCACAGGGTCACTTTGCCGGGCTTTAAATATAGTTCCCGACCGCTCCACCAGCGAGCCATCAGTCCCGCGGGTCGGGTTTCCCGACCCAACTGTCCCCACATGTCGTGACCCCAGCTGTATATGTCGTGACCAGCGGTGGCGGCGGCGCTGGCGGTGACGGCGAACACAGCGGACAACCCGTTGGCAAAGTACTGGACACTCCGGTGGCATAACTCCGGGACCGGTCGGGGAGTCGCCACCCGTTGGTTGTGACCCAACCCGAGGCAACCGTATTGGTTGGCGCCCAACGCGTACACCATATCATCGCGCGTGACGTACAGCGCGTCAAACTCTGTGTCAAAGTCGCGAAACACGTGCAACAATTTGATCCTGGTCCGCGTGCCACGCGGTATATTATCGCATATGCTGAATTTGGCCAGTAGTTCACTCATGGTGAATTAAATGATGGTGTTTTTACATTGTTTGTTTTTTAGAACTTAACTTTGTGAAAATACTTTTTCAGCTGTTTTTGTTTATCAACATGATATAAAAGTTGATCAGTGTTCCCTCTATGTTAAAGTATTTCAACGAGTATCAAGGGCATTTAGACTGGAATATACCCCCTCCAGTTTGATTGACACCCCTTTTCTGCAGACAACCTTGATTGTATTTATGCTTTTTTTAATCATGTTATGTAAACCCGGCTAATTTGCATCAATGTAAAGTCTACAGGACTTTTGTGTAATATAATTATTAAACTCTTGATTCAAATAATCAAAAATGTAATAAAGTTTTAAAATTAATGATAAATTAACTGTTTGTATACGTGATTACAATTAAACATGATTCTCTTAACTAACCACATAAATAAAATTTTGAATATGGCTAAAAATACAGTTTAAAAATTATCTGGCTAATTCCTAACTAACTTAAAAACTTTAAATAACTGTCAACTTCTCCATACCCGCCACCCACTTATAACGTATACGTACTCTATGAACATACAATCTGTCACGTACTATATGAACAGCGTCGGCGATAAATGTCAAACACAGTGGTTGTGTTGTTGTGTTTGATAGAGACGTGTCATAGATTTAACACAACATAACAAATCCCGTAGGAAAAGCATTACTGACGCCACACAACAATCCACACACAGTATTAGTAACGCATAGCAACACTCACTGACACAGCATTACATGCATTATATAGCGTACGTTAAACGCACGCATCGATTATATACTGTATATTCGCGATACTATCGATAGTAGTACTCAACGCACAGTGGAGTTAAAGTCCACAAACGATTGTATCGATTGTATTGATAGGTCTATGCCTTGACTGTATGTATGAATACCCAACACATACAGTACACTATCGATAATTCATACACACATACGTGCGCATAGTCTAAGAGTGTGTGTCTGTAGGAGAGGGAGCGGGAGTGTATGGGGGAGTCCATGTGGGAGCGTGTGCGAAATGTGTTGTGACAAGGTGGGGGGAGACCCGACCAATGCCAATGGTATCTCTCGCTCTCTTTCTACAGTACAATTCAATGTGTGTTGTATTTTATTATGAACCGTATATTTGAAAAATAACACTCAAAAACACACGCAGACATTAAACCATCGTCAATACAAATGTAAGCCACCACAGCAGAGCTGTTGTTGATTATCATCATCATTTCAATTAACTGTTTAAATATTAATTAATTAATTAATGCGCCTAGCTCATTTAATTAATTTATTTACGTTCGTTTTATATTATATGTGCCAACACTGAGCTGTATTGTCATTATTAGGTGTACTTTAGTATACTCTCGGTGTTAATTATGTGTGTAGTTTATACGTGAGTTGATTGTATGACTGGACACTAATACAGTGTGTCTCACATTAAACTCGCGTCACAATGTAATGCCATGTTATGTGTGGTTATTATTATTATCGCAAGTTTTATAATCACGAGTTAGTTATAGTCACAAACTTCACAGACATTTAATTTCACAATTAATAATAGTTAATAATAATAGTTAAATACTTAACTAGTGTTTACACGTACTGTATATTTGTGTTTAGACACCACTAATTGGTGGACCCATTAAACGGCCAAATGGTATGTATTTGTTATTAATTATATTTATTAACTAATAGTTAACTAATATTATATACCATGTTATAAATGAGGCCACAGATTGTCTGTGCCATAGACTTAACATTGAGTGTTAACTAGCCTTAAACGCCACCATTGAATACAATGCTAATCACTATTTATTCTGTTTTTACCCCCAATTATCATCACCTCTACCGCCGATGACCGACCAAATCACTCACTCATACAAACACTGCATCACTACTACTACTGTTGACCACAACTCTTAACCACCCGTTTATCTCACCTGTTGTTTACCACTCAATCATCACTTGACTGATCCAACCGTTTGCTAACCACTCAATGATGACCTGATGGCCGGACACATGCAGTCGCTGACAGCGGACGAGCCGCCAGTGTTGCCAATCGGTACGGATGTGTCGGCCAAATACAAGGGCGCCTTCTGCGAGGCCAAAATCAAACGCCTGACCCGCGCCGTGAAGTGCAAACTGACGCTCAAACACAACAACAATACCGTCACTCTCGATGACGACGCCATTGTCACCGGACAGCTGCGTACGGGCGCGCACGTGACCGTACGGTACGGATCCAGTGGTGCCGCCGCCGGTGGTGGTGGCGCTGACGCCACCTGCGAGGCCACGATCGCCAAAATACTGGATCAGTCGCTGTATACAGTGGTGTTCGACGACGGCGATGAGGCCACGCTCAAGAGGAATAGCCTGTGTCTGAAGAGTGGCAAACACTTTGCCGAGAGCGAGACGTTGGATCAGTTGCCGCTCACAAATCCCGAGCATTTTGGTAATCCTGTGTCGTTGGGTAAGTGTCTGTTCCCTATCTGTCCATCACTACCACCACTTGTGTCACATCACAAGTGTGTCTATTCTCTACCACTACTTCTTGTGGTCATGTGTTGTGATAATAACACTATTTTAACGCATGTCTTATGTTTAATCATCACTTATATCGGTTCCATTAGGGCGTCGACGGCGGCGCCGACACCACAACAACTCGGACTCGGATGACGACGAGGCGGACGACCGGTCCGTAACCGATAGCCACCGGTCATCGAAACGAGGCGGCGGTGGTAGTGGTGGCGGACCACCTGTGCTGACGCCCAGCGAACGGGACACCGACTGGGGTCGAGTGGTATGCGTGGACTACTCGGACAAACGGGGCTCCAAGAAGGACGTGTGGTTCCCGGCGTTGATAGTGGCGCCCACCGCACAACAGCCCACCGCCAAAGTGGCCAGAGATGAGCATTTGGTCCGCAGTTTTCGCGACGGCAGGTTCTATAAGGTGCCCAAACGCGAGACCAGAGAGTTCGCCCGAGAGCTGGTCCTCTCCAAGAGTGAGGCCAACTCTGTGGCTCTCAGGAGCGCTGTGGAGAAAGCGGTGACGTTTGTGGACAAACAGGATTTGCCCAATGGCTGGGATTATGATCTACTGCTTGGCAATACTGTGCCGCAGGTATGTGTGTCCACCCGTTTTTTGCGGGCCTTTGCTGTTGTTGTTGTTTATTGTGTGTGATTAGTGTACCGAATGGTTACCCTATTTGTTATGCGCTAAATGGTGTGTAAAATGATTGGAGATTTTTATGTTGTTTTTTATACCATTTGTTTGTTTGTGTGTTGAAAACAATATTGTAATTAATGGCTATANTCCAAAGGATGGGTAAAAAGAAGGATTCCGTCTCTTCTTTGGGCAAACATTTGCTTAAAGAGAGGAAAAAGGATTTATCGAAACATTTGTATAAAACAAATGTAATTATCATTGAATTGATTGGAAGTGAAGAGTGAATCAATTGACTCATTGATTGTCTATTAATTAGAGACATGTCTTGGATTTGGAAGAAGCGAAGAACGCGACGAGTATTACAGAGACGACAACTCTTGAAGAGTTCTTATCGACCGCTGAAATGGCAAACATTGAGTTCACCGCAGGTTTGGGTCACCTCTTCATCGATTAGATTAATTGTCTTTATTTATGATATTCTCGCAGAACGACAAGACATCCAAATCGTTGATCCAAACCTTAAAAGTGTTGTCAAGAAAGTGAGTGACAATAAAGAGGCTCTACTCATACCGAGACGTCCGCAATGGGATGAGTCGACGACAGCCGAAGAACTGAATCAATTGGAATACGATTTGTATTTAGAGTGGAGAAGACATTTGTCGCACATTCAAGAGACCGAAGACATAGTTATGACTCCATTTGAGAAGAATATCGAGTTCTGGCGCCAACTCTGGAGAGTTGTCGAGAGAAGCGATGTTTGCGTTCAAATACTTGACGCACGAAATCCACTCCTCTTTCTGTCCGAAGATTTACAAAAATATGTGAAAGAAGTGAACGACAAGAAAATTAATTGCATTTTAATGAATAAATCAGATTTTCTGACCCAAACTCAACGCCAAGAGTGGGCCAAACATTTCGATTCGATGGCAATCAAAGCGCTCTTCTTCTCAGCCAAACAAGAGTTAGAATGCGATGAAGACATCAATGACTTGCCATTAGTCGACGAAGAGTTACAATCGGACAAGAATTCGAGCAAACTTTTGAATAGAAAACAATTGATTGATTTGTTTAAATCATTTAAAAGTGTGGACTCTTCGGAACCGATAACCATAGGTCTCGTCGGTTATCCAAATGTCGGCAAATCGTCGACTATTAACGCTATACTGAAATCTAAGAAAGTTTCCGTTTCTGCGACTCCGGGAAAGACTAAACATTTCCAGACTTTGGTTGTGGACAATGAGCTGACACTATGCGACTGTCCGGGACTTGTGTTCCCTAATATAGTGTCGAGTAAAGCAGAGATGATAGTCAACGGTATACTCCCTATTGATCACTTGACTGATCCTCTTTCTCCGACTGGAATCCTCACGAGTAGAATACCGAGACATGTCTTCGAAACGCATTACACGATTTCAATGCCGAAACCGTCAGAATTTGAGGACCAAAATCGATTCGCAACTCCCGAAGAATTGCTGACAACTTATGGCTTTTCCAGAGGTTTTATGACACAGAGAGGAATTCCAGATATGTCTCGTTCAGCGCGTTATATATTGAAAGACTTTGTGAATGGAAAACTGCTCTATTGTAACGGTCCGCCCAATTGTGACCAACAATTGTTTCACGAGTTTCCGCAAAACACTATTCCCACAAACAATGGGGTGTCGGTAGCGCTCAAANGTTATATATTGAAAGACTTTGTGAATGGAAAACTGCTCTATTGTAACGGTCCGCCCAATTGTGACCAACAATTGTTTCACGAGTTTCCGCAAAACACTATTCCCACAAACAATGGGGTGTCGGTAGCGCTCAAACGGATCCTAGAAAGCAGTCAAATCACTCAAAAAGATTTTAATACTTCTTATTTCGACACAACACACGGCAGCGCTCACACCAAAGGTGTGGTTCACGTCTCCGGATATTCCCAAAGATCGGGTGTTACTGAAACAGACACTATGTCTTCGAGTACTTCCATCGCTTCAAAGCCGTGGAAAAAACACGGAAATCGCAACAAAAAAGAAAAATTGCGGCGAATTTACGCTCATTTGGATCAATAGATTCGCTATTATTTTATTGGAAAAAATATAAAATACTTTTTATTATATCAAATAAATATTGATTTAATTTCACACGATTTGGTTGTAAACTCTACTGAAAGGCAATTGTATGCAAAAGAGGTCTTTCGGCCTTATTTTCAAATTCCT